TTGCTACTTTTCCTGTGAAATTCAGGTGACCTGTGAACTGAAGAAATCACTTTGACACGAGGGTTCAAAATTTGGGAAATGAATTCTGTTTTTCTCCAGAAATCAAAAGTTAAGTGTAAAATTCAAAACTTCCTTCACAGATACAGCTAGCTGGCAGTGATTCAGTATCCAAGGCATTGATAAGAAATGGTGATACACATTGAGAGCTATTCTTATTAGTAAAAACAGGATTTTCCCAAAGGTTAGCTAATTGAGTAAATTTTTATAGTATCTGTGTAATACTCTTTCAATGGAGAAAGAAAACTTGAATCCCAAGTCTCATGTTCTTTTTAGTTATTACTCTTGAAACCAATAGCAAATACAGGTGAGTTTCTACTGTTCAGTTTACTTTCTCAATACATATATATGTATGTAAATAGCATAAGGAATATTTTAAGGAAGTTAATCTATATTACTGTAGGTCACCCATCACTATATTTCCTAATTTATAGTGAGAAAATAATATGTTGAGTTCCTGCATCAGTACATGTATCACCAATTCTGAATTATGTAAATAATGTTCATAGGTTGGATAGGGATATTTCTCATAAAAGTACTTTTATTCATATGACTGATTCACTGTGCCCTTGAAAGAAAACAGTAATTATGTCTACATATGGACAGTCAAAGTTGAAGGTTTTTTCAAGCCATATGTGTGGAACCCTAGGTATATGAGGAGGTATATGTGTAACCCTAGGTATATGAGGAGATTACTTTGTTTTTTTTCATTTCTGAAGGATTTTTGTTAACTGAGTAAATCTGTAAAAGCACATGTTTAGATTTGTTATATAAGTATGCAAATATTTTCACTTGCAAGCATTATAATACTGAAAGAAGTATTCAAAGAATTGCAGGAAAATTAAGAATCAGAGAGATTAATGAGTTCCTAAATTTATATATGAGTTTATGTAAAAATGAGTTTCTATTTTTACATTCCTAAAATTTGCAAGAATATATTTTCAGTGCTTGATGGGCTTTATGCAAAGGGTGATTTATGTAAAAAAAAAAAATCCGCTTTAGTTCTTGACAGTGCAAACACCATAGGAAAACCAAAATAAATTTAGTGTAAATACTAGTGTAAATTTAGTGTCAGCCAGAACCATGGTGACAATACTGATGAAATATCCATCTGTCTCCAGTATCTGAGGCCCAACCAGCTGGAGTTCCCTAAATAGATCTATAAGTTTGAACACAGTTTCTGCAGTTTCTAGTCTAAACACTGTAATCACTTCAGTAGTTTTCAACGACTGATTTCTTGAATCTTGGACTGGAATTGTCAGTGCACTGAGAAGTGCCCTTAAAATGAAGGTTTCTATGAACTGTTGCACAAGTGAAAAAGAATTATTCATCTGGTTATCTGCTCTTTGCAATAAACTGTGTCTTCTGAAACCTACCTTTCATCCCACTGTAGAAACTTGTGATTTCACAGGTGAAAGGAACCTGGGTATTGTATCCCTTTTCTCACAAAAAAGATGATGAATTTTAAGGAATACACATGTTAAGTATGTACTACTAACCAAAAAAAGATTTAATGGCCATTCAATTGTAGAAGTTGTACATTGACGACATATTGCAAAGAACATGAACAAGGTTAAAAATCACCAATCCAGGGCTCTGCTGAATTCTGGTTGAGTGTATTATAGCTGCCTCTAAAGAACTGTAATTAATAGATTTGAGTAACAATACTGCTTGGGACAGATTTTCTTTAAGTAAAGGAGTTCTTTGCCACTGCACAACACAGCAATCACAATAGGCAAAATTAGGTTTTCATTTAAAATCTTTTAAAATTGGATAACCATCTAGCATTTGAAATAAGAAAAAAATTAACAATTAACTGCTTTTATTGCTAAACCTTTTAATAATACTTTTTTTTACAAGTAGATGCACAGAATTATTTGTGCAGGCAAGAATGTCCCATACTCACAATAAATGTACTGTAGTTTAATACAAAAGATCAGTTGCATGTCATTAAACAAGCATCTTAATCAGTGTTGAAGTTTAGACTGTGTGCCTAATACAATTCACTGGCTTGTATTGATGTGTATTACTCTATTTAAGCTGGGGGGGTTTATATATATAATTTATATTGGAAGTTATTTATGCTCCTTGATTATGAAATAATGGCTTGGTGAGATCTGTTGAAAATAACTACCAAACTACAAACACATTATTTATAATAGAGTGACAACTATATTGACAGTTTGGCATAACAAAGGCTTAATCTACAAATGAAATTATATATCTGCTTTCTGAAAGCTTAACATACACTGGGAAAATTCAATCGCAATTTTATACACAGATTTTACACTGTCTTGTTTTCTCAAGCTAACATGCTTGTGCCAATAGAGTTTCTTAGAACCTTATTGGAAGACCTGAGAAACTTTCAAAATATTATTTGGCTTTCTCAGCTTCTTATATAAGAAGAAAATACAGAAGGAAATATTATTAGTATATAAATACTTGTTAAGAACATCACAGCAGAGCAATAGGGTAGACATGAGGGTTAAATCAAGACACAAAATCATAAGTTTCTGACACTTTAGACCATTATTGAGAAATGTCACTTTCAGTGTCAGTGCAGAACTGATGATCCCTTTTCTTGGGCAAATTACTTCCCTTGTCACGGAAGTGGTGTACATACATGTGCATAAACATCCTGTCAGTGCACCTAAGATGCAAAAAAAGTGAAAATAACCACTAATGTGCTTGTATGTTCACAACTCCAGTAACACCCTGTAGATTAATTAGTATTTATTTTTCAGTAGGCTAGATTTTTGTAAAGCTTAATATTTGCCTTTTTCTATGCTGTCATTACATCTAATTTCTCACCACTCTGGGGATATTTTTCTAATTCAGCAAGACTGCTAACTGGAAACATCATTTGATGCAAACCTGAAATGTTCTGGAGAGAATAGCCAGTTCAAGTGTTAAACCAGGCAATTTCAAGTCTTTCACTTGATTTGAGATTGATGTTTTCCCTGTTAGCTGTACTTTCAAATGCTGCTGTCTTTGGATGATTACGCAGTCATCTGAACAATGCAGTGCAACATTCCTCTTAAGTACCTTACAGGCAAAAAAGCAATCCACAGAAAATGTAATAGTGTTTTGTCTATTGAGTCCAAGGATATGCTTCAGACTGCAGACTGAAAAGGATTCTGTCAGTTGGCTGACTTATCTTGTAACTGTGCTTGCAATACTTGTCTATTTTTGGTAGAAGGCTGAACATATTACTTAAGTAATATGTTCAGATATATACTTTTATGACTGTTTTTACACCAACAAAATAAGGATCTTCTTGCAGTGGAAATATAATATTAAGTGTTTTTCAACATCATCTTTTCATTTCACTAAGTCATTTCAGCACTAGTGATTTTCATTGCAGAAGTAATCAGAGGCACTCTGATGAAGAGCAAGTAAACATCCCCATTTGTTGCATGGGTGATGAGGCATGTGATATTCTTAGAGGTTTTCTCATTAGGACTACTGGAAAGATGAACCACGTAACTGTAAGAAAGAGGTTTAATGGAGTCTTAATAGGAAATGAAAGTCAGTGAAACGGCAAGATCTTGCCAGGCAAAAGAGTGTCAGGTCTGCTCTTATCATAACAGTGTATGCGTTAGTTAAGCGGAACAACTGCGTAGATTCCTTTTAGTTTGGGTTGTGTCTGTATGGTCAAGCAGCCCAGTGAAAGGAAAATTTTGTCTGGATCAGTTACTGAGGAAAGCAGTCAAGAGAAGAGGTGATTAGAACATTAAAGAATGGAACGTTAAAAATGTGAGAAGCACGAGTCTTTGAAATTATATCTTCTACAGGATTGTAGCACATTTTACAAAATCCAGTTCAGGCAGAAAAGAAAACCCAGCCTTTTTAATGGAAAAGTTACACTGTAATTTAAAAATTATTTCTAAATGCAGTGATATTCTTTATTTGCATCTTAAAAATAATAGAAAATTCAAATTGAATGATAATTATATTAGATATTTTATAGATATGAATTGATTCTACTGAGAGTGATCATGTCTCCACTGAATATTTATAGGGGTTTTTTTAAAGTACATTTTTCTACTTGCTTGACTAAAATGATATGCAAAATCAGAGAAAAATTGTTAATGAAAGGGTAGTTCCAAGTCAGCTCTAGAAAGCAGTGAGCAAGCAAGAAATATATATGCAAGAGAAAAGATCAGCTAGTATACCGCTGAGTGATTGTTGTTTTATTAATTATAGGTTAGGAATGCTATCATTATAATATGACAACTTTGCCTGAAAGTTCTGCATAGATGCATTATGTTCTAGAATGTTAGATTGCGCCTTTGAAATTACGGTAAATAAAGTTAAGGGTGGCTTTTAATACTGAAAGAAACTCCAGCCGATTTGCCCTTGCCCCTGTTCTGACTCCTGTCTGCAGACACCATAGTAAGAGTTCAAAGAGGAATTAGCAGGAACTGAAGACTGAATTAGTGTTACTGAAGAAGAAAAGCAGATCCACACTGTGCATTGCAGCTTTGCTCCTCAGTGCTGTTCTCTTACAATAGAAGTAGACTGGTTTATCTAAGCTAGGTTAAAGGGGTTTAAGTTTCATATGAATATTCACTACATTGTGCAGCTACGTGGTCTGGACCTGGAAGACATGCAACATCTTCTTTCTTGTTTGATGAAGCTGATGGAAATCCTACAAAAATCAGAATCCAAGAAAGGGTTGATAACATCCATAGCTTTTCCCTTGCCCAGCAATGCCATTGAAGACCAACAGATAGGTCAGGGAGGCCTCTCTTGGTGAAACCAAGCAGGTTGTCTTGAATTACCTCCCCTCCCCATCCTCCCCATGCCTTAGTATAGCTTCCAGGAGGATCTGTCCTGTGATCTTCCCAGGCGCAGACACGAGGCTGGCAGGTCACACTCATCTGACTGCCATGGCTTTTCAAATATCATGGAGAGTTCTTTGGTAACAATATCAGCCAAGTCTCTCAGGACTCTGGGATGCACCTCATCTGATACAATATCTTTATATATATTCATGTTCCTCAGGTGCTCACAAACCTGATCTTCTGTCTCAGTGGGAGAGAATTTGTTTCTCCAGTCTCTGCCTTGTGGTTCTTCCACCCTAGAGTTGTAGGAAGAGAGTTGTCAATGAAGAATTAGGCAAAACCAGTGCAGAGTACCTCAGCCTTCTTGTTCCTTGTTACCAGTTTGCTAAACTTATTTATCAAGGAGGGTACACTTTCTTCGGCCTTCCCTTTTTTTGTCAGACATACCTATAGAAGCCTTTAGTATTCTTTGCATTCCTTGTCAAGTTCAGCTCCATTCCTGCCTTGACCTTCCTGACCTCATCCCTAAAAAACTGGACTGAATCCCTATAGTCTTCCTAGGATACCTGTACCTGCCCCCACTGCCTGTGCACTTCCTTCTTGCCTTCTAGTTTTACCAACAAGTCTTAACTCGGTCGTGCTGGTCTTTTGCCTTCCTCTCCCAATTCATTACATCTTGGGATCCTTAGTGCTCCATAGAAAACATCCTTTAAATTTTTTCTTCTCCTTTGTCCCTGAGGGCAGTTTCCATATTAGTACTATTGACTAACTCCTTGAAGAACTGGAATTGTTTTCCTAAAATTCAGGGCCCTGACTTTACTTTTTGCCTGACCCATATCCCTCAGGACTGTGAACTCCACCAGTGCCTGATCTCTACAGACCAGACAATTCCAAATCCTTACAGAATGCTGTATTTACAGAGTATGTCTACAAGAAAAAATGAAAAGGAAATATTTTAGTATGACTAATACAGTCTTGTGTACAAAGGACTTAGTTTTTAACTGCTATAGTTCACTGTCTGCACAATAGGGGGCTACTTTTTCTAGACCTGTATGAGCTAATAGAAATCTCTTCTGTAAAACAGGAGACTACAAATTATAGTGGAACTTGGACAGTCATATATATTCTGTATTGTTGCTAAATTTTGTCTCTGATCACTCAAGATTAATACAGTAAAAATTGTGATCAGTCATCTTCACCACAGTGAATCCAACTTAATATTAGGAACTTGGTCAGTCTGGAGTTATTAATTCTGATAGTATTTGTGTGGTTTTAAACAAATCCGTTACAAAACCATAATCTTCTTTAGGTAGCCTAAAGTGAGACTGTGGTAATGATCAAATACTTGCTTTCTTATATATAAATGGATCATCTACTTGGCAAAGAGATTACACCTTGGCAAGCTGAAGAATTCGAGATGCTTTCGCACATTATGTCTGTAGCAAAAATAATCTATCTACTTGTATTTTTCATAATGGCTTATATTGCAGTCTTCATAAATAATATTAAATAAATATTACGTAGTCCTGAAGATGGAAATGCTTTCTGTAATGCTCTTTTTACTTGTTTGTTAGGCCTCTGCATCCTTATGCATGTGTGAAGCATGGCAGGCAGCATGTAGATTTATAGGTATTCAGAACAGAGAGTTTGTGCCAGAAGCTACGTACTGCAGCATGTTTCTGTTTCATTACCATTGTAAAGGAGAGCTACAGGCATTTTAATGACTTATGACTCAAGCTGTCTAGAAGTAATAATGACACCGTGCATGTTGGTCTTTGGTTTTCTCATTGCCTCGTAATTTATTTTTTTTTCTTAAAGTGGTTTTAAAAGGGAGTGTGCCTCCAACTTTTTTAATTAGTTTAGCCACCACTACTTTTTTCTGTTTTATCTCTTTAATGTCTCACATTCTGTTCTACAATGTCAGCAGGCATTTTCCAAAGATTAGTCCAAGAGGGATCAAGAAACTGATGGTAAGAGCAGTAAGCCAAATCATATGGATGGAAGATCTGATGAAAACTTCAGAAAAGCTTAAAAGATAAAGGAACTCAAAAAGGCTGCTAGTTAAACCTTTTGCATTAAGGTGGATTAATTGTTCCATACTTATCATTCTTCCATTGACCTGATATCCTTTTGTCTTCTTCAGATAAAGAGCCAATTGGCTGTTAAACAGCCAATGAGAGTACAAAGCTCATTGTCACCTTTTACAAGCTGAGTAGCTTCTTTAGGTTTGCACATTTTTTTCCATATTTATCAGCATAGTCAAAATGAAAGGTTATAAATCCATTTTTTAACGGGAATATGGCTGTACTTGCCATATGTTGATGTGTCTCTTGAATGCTGGAGCTTAAAGGAGTTATTTCAAATCTTACTCCTTTATTGCACTACTTAGACATAAAACCAGCATTTGCACCCAGACTTGCATGTGAGCCACCCTTTTCCACAAGCTCAATAAACAAAACAATTTTTTGTGACAGACCAGAATATTTTCAAAGACAAAAAACATGACTGAGGAATGTGTTTGACATGCTAAGACCCATCATGTGGAATGCTTTCTATCTGAATGCCTCTGCTGTCATGATTTTGTATCTCCAAGACTATTCTTCAATAAATGAGCTAATGAAGAGAAAGGAATTTATTATGGAAATCAGTGATAATATTGGCAGAGATTCTACATTAATATACAGTGATGCGTTGAACTAATAACAGATTTCAGGCATATATATGACATGAATATTTATTATATGTAATTAAATAAATCTTCTACATATTATTGTTGAATTATTATCATTCATACACACATGTGCACTTTATACATATACACATGCAGGCAAGCAAAAGGTGCATCAAAGTAGACTGAAAAATCTACTGTATTTCACTGCAGATTATTTGTGATCTAATGTGCCCTCAACATGACTCCTAGTAACAAAATACAGTCATGATTTTCAGTCCCAGACTTAACGGGAATGTACTTTTCTCATTACCCTGTGTTGTAGCGAGTTTGCTGTGCATTTGAAAGAAACAAATAAACAAGGTCTTGCAAAAGTGAAATAAATATCTCCTTACAACCCAAAATGTATTCAACGCTCTCCCAGTATGGTGTAATATTTGCTAGTGAAAAAAAGTTGAATTAAAACCTTCAAAATACAGAGATTTTAGATGTATTGTATCACTAACGAAATTAAATTTATTATTGAGTGCATTCATTTTTTCTTTTTTCTTCTTTTTTTTCTTGCTTCTTTTATTTTCTTTATACTCCTTTGAATTTTATAGGATATATGTAATTTTCACTTGCACCGTCTATATTTTCACTTGAACCATCTATAACTGTTTAAATGAAAAGAAATATGTTGGTTTTGCCAATGCAAAATTATTTTGCAGTTTTAGGCACAGTGTGATTCTTTTTAGTGCTCTTTTTCCTGTATTATTTTTCCTTTAAAATGTATGTTATTAGTTTATCTTAAAAACCTCTGTGATAACGTGCAGTTAGAGCAGAGATATAAAAGGGAGAGAAGGAGAGGATGTTATCTGAAAATTGCCTTTATCTGTAACCATTAGGAAGAATGCATTTCCCATTGCAATTTATATTTCAAGATTATATCCTTTGTGCTGTAAAAACTAGGGATAGAAAAAGTGTTTAGATTCATCTAGTCCATCTCCCTGCCATTGGAATTATTCCCTATTGTAAAATCAGACTGGTTCTACTAATGCAAGTTGGCCAGAGCAATGGAAATCTCATTACTTTTCATTGAGAGACAATTCTCAAAGTTTAATAGTCCTCATTTTTGGAAAAAACTGTGTTAGTTCTGAATTTTCTATTTCACAATTTTATCCTTTTTACTCCATGATGTGTTTGCCTACTTGCAGAAACTGGAACATCTTTCTTCCTTGAAATTTTTCAGTGAACGTTTTCAGACTTCTCTGATGACCTCCCATAAAAATAATTACCTAAACTAGAGACCTTTGTTTATTTTAGTATTTCTCATCAGTCAATCATCATAATTTGTTGTGTCAATGTCTTTCTTGAATATAACAATAGGTTTGAGAAATTGTTTACATTTATTCCAACAAAAGAGATGTTCCTAAGACAAAAATATTGTTTTTCTACTATGTGAGGACAGAAAAGGTGATTCCGACACACACTGATGAATGGTCACAGATGAATAGATATTTCTGTATTTCCGTAAGCAAAAAAAAGTCAATCATCATTTCTATTATATAACTCAGTATCTAAAACTCTCTTGGCAATTGTTTTTTTTTTTGTTTGTTTTCTTCTGTTGAAGATTTCCTTGGATGTGTTGGAGAGAATATTACATTCCTATTTGTTCTGGTCTGCATATTTCTGAACACATTTTATTTTCTGTTTCAAATCCTTTCTTCTCTTTGTGCTGTTTCTCTGCCTTTAGTGCAACACTTCACAGTTTATGTGACAGTTTCATTAACGTGTTTTCTATTCCCCTTTGCAGAATGTAAATGAAGATGTCAAAACTAAATTTAACATGAATACTGGAAACATACCCCATTTCAGCTTCTCAAAACTGAGTGCATTACCATTTATCATCAACCCTTGTCAAGAGACCTTCAAGTCACTCCTTAGTTGAGTTTCACAAACTGATTTAAGCTAATTCTGAAGTATGCATGCAAAAAAAGTCAAATTATGCGTTTACTGTGACACTAGTGATGATGTGAGGGCACAAAAAATTATTAATAAAATGGAACACATTTCATATATTAATTGTGCAAGTCACCTAATGATACTGTGGATGTCCCTGATCTCTCCCTCTCAGACCATAATGCTGTATGGTCTTGTTATAGTCTGTCAAAAGTATCTTTTGGCAAATAGAAGTTAATGAAATAGGTGAGTCCTCTCAAACTGCCTATTGCATAGTTATATGTAACATCAGAGAATATAACTCAGCACCTCAGGTATTGCTCCATATTCCTTTGGGTTTGTGTAGGTGACATATTTCGATGTGGATAATTGTCATTGACTTTATGAAAATCATGCAGTTACATGTGGAAATAGGTCATGCAAGATAAACAAGCAAAGGTGTTGCTCTAGGCAAGTGCAGTAAAAAACCCACATTTTTGACTCATCTCTACTTGTCATTTTCTTGTAAAAGGAATCATACAGACAGCTCTCTAGTTGTTTAAGTGAATGCACTGATTCTGATATTTCATAATACTGATAGCTTGATGGTCTTTATACCAATAGCATCACTTTCACAAGCAAACAAATTAAGCTAGATATTCTTCTGTATTCATGGCTTATAGAACTATAAAATCAATTCTAAAGGATTTTTAAAATTAAATCGATGGCCCAGAGGCAATTACATCAATACAGGTGGAATAAAACCCATATATTTCATATATGCAATCTGTTTCTAAATAGCTTCTGAGATGCACAACATAGTGTGCATTACTCAGTGCTCCTGAGCTGAATCATCAAGTATAATGGAAAGGCTTTGAAGAGGTCTTTTTTAAAAACCTATATTCTTCATGAGAAAAGCAAATTTAGAGTTTAATTGACAATGCATGCCTCCCCTTCTGCTTACTTAAAAGGTTTTCTGGCCTGAAATGATAAATGTTTCTGAGTCAGCATCTCTGGAAAAAGCTGGTGTATGGGGACACAGGAGCAGGCTGCTTTGCAAGGGAAGACAGCTTGCCAGTGAGACTGTCCTTTTAGGACAGTGGGACAATCCCACAGCATCTGAACAAGAATTCCATACCAAGTCCAGTGGCAGTCATTATAATCATCTCCAGCCCACAGGGCTGCTCCTGGTTTTCTTTCACACAGCAACATTCTCAGCAGGTCTCAGGTTCCACGCCTGGGCTACCCCAGAGCTGGCCTGTGGTAAAGGCACAGGTTCCTGAAGGAAGGGGGTCAGAACCCGTTAAATTGCCTTTTTTTTTTTCTTGTTTTCATTTTTTAAAGAAACTGCTGTGATTTTTGTATGTTGTGATGTGTTACTCACCCTAAATCAGAAGCCTCTTATAACTAAGAAAAAGGCGCAATATAATGTCAGTATCACATAAAGGTGCTGATTACAGAGCTCATCTTCTCTCTAACACATAATTTTAATGGCAAATCTCGCAAGTGGTGCTTGAATGAAGTTCAGAACAATCAAGTCTTCTTCTTATTCACTGAAGAGAGACAATATCGCAGAACCTCTCTAAGCATAGAAGACCAAGAATCAGTCCCAAAATTAATGCACTGTCTTCTGGGCCTAGAAAAATCCATAGATGTGCCAGTAGAGCACATCATTGTTCCACCGGAAGAGCAAATAGAAGTTTTTATTCGTGTAGTGGTTGGGGTTTTTTTTAACATCTTACCAAAAACCTCTTGTTAAAGAGAGCAGGTCCCTGAGATATGCATGTTGAGTTTGATATCTTGCTATCTATTTCAGAAGAGAGGATAAGTCCCATCACTGGTGACATCTCTCCCTTCAGAAGCAAGTACGTCTGGTTTTGTTATATGAATAAAATAAAAATCAATTATATGTTTCAAAAAAAATATATTGAAAAATATATTGAAAAATACTTTTTTTCATGAATTGTCCTGGAAGATAGAGCTAACAAGAAGGACTGTGCTTGGAAGCAGTATCAGAAATTGTCATAGGAGGAACAGAAATTGATGGGCCAGGAACAGAGATGATTTGCAGCCTTATAGGTAATCTGTCACATAGTACAAGTCACCCATAGCTTTTGACATTAAAACCTTGAATGTGGAACAAAAGGCAAAATTGTTAAAATTTTTAAATATTGCTACATTGAGGCAATGCTGCTTGTATCAACAGTGTATATGAAAGCATTGTACCTTGCTTTAATATAGGGACAAAGCCACATTCCCTGTTTCCAGTACCTGTCCATGATGCATTCAACAAAGTTCAGACTTGGCAGAGAGGTGTCAGGAGCTGATAATGCCTGTAAAACTAAATAAGAATTTCATGACAGTGGCTTGATAGAAATGATAGGGAAGATGTTTCAGACATCTTTAAAATGCAAGTAAGGTAAATGAAAAATCTTGCAGTAAAATGAAAGAGCAAAAAGCACAATGGAACAAGAGATTAAAGATTAGAAAAACCAGAAACAGTCACAGGACTGCAGTTCCTTCAACATAAAGTCTTGACTCACTACATACTTGTTGGTTTTGATTTGTTAAAGTGTTGAATGTACATGTCTATCAAAAAGACAAATTTCTTGATTGAATTTTGTTCTGTGCTGTATGTTCTAGGGCTGTAGAAGTGTGCATGTGTTTGAAAACTAATATCTTTTCCCATGTTTTTTTATCAGGTTTTGTGGGATTTGAGATTGTGATGGTTTTGTTTTCTTTTATTCTCATCTACAAGGCAGAGATTTATTAAAAATTAGAACAGATAACCCACTGCTATCCTTCTTTCTGAGTCTTTTAGTAAACCTTCATTATTTACTGATATTTTGTTGCAGAAACTATGCATATATATATTATAATCTCAAATGAGATCATAGGATACTTCAAGTCAGAAGAGATCTTTCCCTCTTATTATTTTCACTAGCAATTTTTTTGTAATACTGATGTAAGCAGAATTAACAAATTAGAGCTTGAAGGTCTTAGACCAAGTTTGTTTTGCATAACATTGATGAATATTATCTAAAGTGGTTAATTTATCACTCCGTATCAACTATTGTTGAGATTTCAGAATAACTTTTTTTTCTTTTCCCAACTGATAGGCAGATTTTTAGAGCCATATTTCTCCATTTTCTTTGCTAATTACAATACAGCTCCCAAAGTGACATTTTGAAGTTGCATGACTTTTCTGAATCTTGATTCATATAACGGGACTGGACATCCTTTAAGGAGTATAATAAATTAATTCAATTATAGTTAGACTGTTACATTCATTGCAAACAGTAGAAGTCTCACTTCAACTCAGACAAGGTAGCTAAAGATTCATTCCCAATTATGATGTTCATTATTTTATTCTTTAATTATGTATTCATTAATTAGGAGTTTCAGGCAAATGTAATTATAGCTTAAAACATGGACCATTAATAACTGTAACGCTGCATTACATTTTGCTTATTAAGCAAATAATTTCAGAGGTCGGAAGTGGTTACCTATTTCAAAGTATGTAGGAAACATGCTGTTCTACTGTGCACAAAACTGGAAGTTTAGGTAACAGTTCTGAATCTTGGTTTTTAATAATTCAATCTGACTTGTCCAGAGACACAGTAAAGAGGAACTAATTTAGTATTTGCTCGTATGGTGGCCAGTCGTAAGACTAGAGTAACTTAAAACCATGGTTACGATCAGTAACCATGTTTGATCTTCTTAAATGATAATAATGATGATTCTTTGCACAGGTTGACTATCTCCTGCTTTATCTCTGGAAACAGACTGGGTCGTTCTCTGGTCATTAGCTAGGTAAGATAAAGGTAATATTAAGAACTAAATGTCTCTACATATCTTTGTAGTGGCCTCATTTGAAATCAGATTCTTAACATAACATGGAAGACATATTATTTATTTTTTTATAATAAATGATATTTTTACTATAATTATTCTTGCATCTAAACATTTTTAAAAGTCTATTTAGTTTAATGATTTAATTTTTTTTTTTTTTTTTTTTTTTAATATATAGGTTTGATCATTCTTCAGTTCTCACACGCAGTCCCTCTTAGGTCCCTCTTAGAAAAATCTCACCCTTTCTATTATTTCAGAAGTTTTACTGAAACACCTCAAATTCCACCAGCTTCTTGCTGGTAGCTCCCTTCTTTCTAAAGCTCTTCAAACTTGTTTCATTTGTGTTACAGAGTTTCTGGTTGGAGGAGCTTGTCTTCATCAGTGTTGGGGAAGCACACAAAGCTCCCCTCCTTCTGGAGGACTCCAGCTGGCATGGAGCACCTCAGCAGGACAAGGCAACACAAAAGCTTTTTCTTTTGTCTTGCTCATTCACACTCCTTTAGTACACTAGAGCAGATAGCAAAGAATAAACTGCAGACAAGCCCTCTGGGCTAGTTCTCAGAGAGAGACTGAAGTTCCTAAAAGGGTTATCAAGCTCTGAGACAGGTTGCCCAGGGCAGTCTTTCAGAAACCTACCCTGGAGGTATGTAGAAGATGGGTAAGTGTGGCACTGAGGTATATGCTCTAGTTATGGGCTTGGCAGTGCTGGGTTAATGGTTGGACTCAATGATTTTAAAGGTCTTTTCCAACCTAAATGATTCTATAATTTAAAGTGGAACCAAAATAATTGAAGCTGCTACAACCCCTAGCACTGCATTGTGGTTTTATTTTAGTTAAACTTACTGCAAATTAGTTCAAAAGAATTTATATACCCAAACATCTCTTTCAATTAGATGGAGATGTAGTATGAGACTAAGACTAATAACTTTGCAGTGTACTCTACAGTTGTTGTATGGTGCTACACAAATGAGGCGTTCCACTGACTTAAGATACAGATGTGGGGAAATATCACATGAAAGTTAACCAAGACGAAAGATCAAAGGTCATGGTTTCCTGATAAATAGTTTCCAGGGAAAATTAATTGGGTAGCACAAACTATGCTTCATTTGTATTGTTTTTCGTGGGTTATGTTCCTCTGAAGCTGCTCTGTAGAAAGTTCAGTTACCTGTGCTCTTTCACCTGACTGTTTGAAACCTTAGAAGAGGGAGAAAATTTAGTTTAGGCTGGGAGCAACTGAGCATGCTTGGTGTGTAAAATTTTGACCAGGATGGCCATAGGCTGTGACTCAGACACAGGAAGAAGATTGATACCTGGCAGGAAAGGCAGAGAATCAGGAAAAAAGACTGGGTGGGGAGGGTAGGGTTTGGGGGGTGTTGGGGAAATCAACCAAAAAAGCCCAAAAAACTGAAAAAAATCCCCAACCAAACAAAAAAAAAGTGCACATATATAGGTTGTGGCAACTGATACAAATTTACTATTACATAAAACCCACATAGGTGGTGTTGGGCTGAAAACAATACTGGAGGTAAAGCAAGACTGTCTCTTCAGAGACACCATAGTCTGCAGAATTCCCTTATATTTCTTTTCTGTCTCACTGAGGTTTCTCAGTTCCAGTAGCTGTTCAAATAGAAGCACAGGTATAAAGTCTTTTCATTTATTTGTGTAGGTGGTCAGTCTAAGAATAAATGATGTCAAGATCTGGTCCTGGTCACACCAAAGGTGTTTGCCTGTGAACTCAGTGGGAAGGAGAGTATTTCCTGATTGCAAATGGTGCTGTGTTACTACCATATAGTGTAGGGACAGAAACTTTTCTCTTGTCATTTTTTCTCTGACAGGGGATTGTCCCCAGGATTCCCAGTGCAGGAAGAATCTAGGCCTGCCCACAGATACTTTCTTTTTTTAATCCTCATTTAAAGACTATTTCAATTTTGCTCAAAATTCTAAATCAGTAAGTATTTAAAAATTCATTATATGCTATAAAGTGTTTTATATTTTAAGAAATAAAAATAATACAACATCTGTGTCTGTTTTCTAAGCAAGTCTATTTGGCATTATTTAGGGGAAACACACTTTAGGCCTGCAGAACAGCTAACATTAGAGTTCCCTAACTATTTCAATTGTCCCCTCAGTCCCTCTCCATTCTTTTCACATTCTGCTTCAAGTGAAACAGATGTTAGATTTAGTTGTTTGTGTTTCTGCATGTTTATGCAAAACTTATGCTTTCTAATAATGTTCTGAGTTTTGTAGATTTTTCTTGTTTTAATGTTCCCCCCATACTCTTCCTCTTGTTTTCCATTTAAAAAAAAGGTTTTATATGAAATTTAAATAACAGACAGATGTCCAAATCTTAGAAATTTAAAAAAAAAAAAAAAAAAAAAAAAAAAAAAAAAAAAAAAAAAAAAAAAAAAAAAAAAAAAAAAAAAAAAAAAAAAAAAAAAAGGGAATGTTTATAATTCAGTGCATTGCTGGTCATTATGTTATAAGTTAGTTTAAGAATTTAGACAACTCAGTTCCAATTAAAAATTGATAAATTTATTAAGCAAGCGATAATAAAGCAAACAGCGCTGGGTGGTCTGGGGGGCCAGCGCCCCGCCCGAGACACACAAAACTTGTTTGAAAACTGGGCTTTTGTACTCTTTCGATATCAGTTGTTGAATATTCATT